TTCTTATTATTATTTATATTTAGTTTTTCTTATTTTGTATTCTTTAAGCCCTGATAAACGTTTTTTTTTAATATTCTATTTTATACTTTAAATATTGTTATTACTCTTTATTATTTATATTTTTCAAATCTTTTATTTTATTTTTTTAAATTTGTAATTTTTATGGTGCTCATTCATTCATTACAATGAATATCTGTGTTTTTATTCTTTCTTTTACAACTTCCCTTAATTTAATTTAAAATCTTTGGCTCACATATAAGTTTGTATATAAAATAGCTTGTTGGGGAATTCTAGATCTCTCTATTAATTGCATTTTTAAAAAAAGCGACAAAAACTCTACTAATACACTATGAAGCAATCCAAGACTTACATCATTACATTCTCTAATTCAATGTTCTACATACAAACATTTACAAATGCATTCTATGAATTTTCATAAATGGAATGCCAATGCTATCCGGAATATTTATTTCTTAGCATATAAATTATTTTTAAAATATTTAATATACAACTACCTTTTTATTAATTTATTACCATTATTCCGCACACATCTTACCTTATACTTTACTTATTTATTTTTGATTTTTCTACTTTTCAAAGGGAACTGCTTACACTGTATTTGCTTTGCTCGGTCGAATGGGCTCAAGTGCCGAATACTTGGACTCTGGCAAGTATTTTACAACAATTTTGGTTTTTTGTAATTTTGAGGGTGGTTGTTGCGCACTTGATGTCATTTTAACGCCATCGATTCATATTATTTGCCCAAGATATCAGCGTAATTCCTTTGACAAATCAATTGGCAAATGCCACTCGATGGCATGCCACAGAAGGCTAAGAGCTCTCTCCTCGAACACCCGATTGCCGATGACACCTCGGCTGCAAGTGCTGTTTGCCCAACTCATTGAGTCTCAATAGGTTCTGTCGGAGTGTTAAACTTGACACTTGTTGGCGCAACAGATCAAAAGCGACCAAACTGTGCGTGAGTGCAATTATTTACCCAAAAATACATGAAATGTATGCGCATGTATACGTATTTTTAAGAAATGCAATCAGCTTTAAATAAACATATTAAGAATTTCATTCTATGCAAATTAGACGTGAGCTGAAGCCCCAAGGGAGCGCATATGACACAGAAATTGCGTATGCTAAACACGCAGAAAAAGGGTTAGAAATATAGGAAATTACTTGTAGAGGTAGCTAAAGAAGAGTTCTGGCAACATATGGTCTTTCTTAAAAAAGGAAATTTGATTGCCTAGCAGGCTGTCTTTGAGCTCAGATCTGCTATCGATCTAGTAAGTCAAGTTCTCTCAAACCTATTTGCCTTATTCACATTTTGATTTTACTTTCATTTTGATTTTCTGTTTTTACTTTTCAAATCTCATATAATAGGAATCACAGTTGGCACCTCGTCTGCTGCCTGAATTAGATTTCAATACTAAAATAATTTGATTTTAAGCTAACTACATAAAGAATGGATCAAAATATGCCTGACACGTTGACGGCATGGCGGGCGCTCGTGCTCTGGCAGAATTGGCGCAGGACGGCGCTGTTCTTTATATTCACGTTGACTCTGCTGCTGGACATGGCCACCAATCCGGTGATTAGCGTGGCAAGCGTTGCTGGCGCCATAACCATATCGATATGCATTGCCTATTGCTGCTACGTGTGGGGCATGCGGAAGCTGCGCAAGAGCTGCAATGCGGAGCATCCGTTGAAGCGCTATCTCGACATGGATGTCACCATCTCAAGGAAGACCGCCGAGCAGCTGGCTCATCTCTTGGTCTCCAAACTGAATCCGATACTCTTGCGTTTGCGATCGCTGTTCCTCGTGGAGGATATGCTCGATTCGCTGAAGATGCTATTAATTTTCTGCTGCCTTAATATTGTGGGCGACTTTATCAAGGGAATGACTCTGCTAGTAGTGGGTAAGTATGGGTATGAGTATGGTCTCAGTTGACCTTCTCTCTAACCCGAATCTTTCATCTTTCTTTTAGCTTTCATCCTACTCTTCACTTTACCCAAACTATACGTGTGGAAGAAGAAGACCATCCACAAGAAGCTCGAGCAATTGCAAATGTTGAAGGCTCAGCTGCTGTCTTCAAACCCTAAGATGACTACAGTTCCCACTGTTGCAGTGGATCCTCAAGTCCTGGACCCAGATCTGAAGAAGATGAACTATGTAGATAACGACATGGAAATCGACACTGAGCAGTACGATACTTATGAACAGACTAGCACGCCGGACTGTTCGTCGGACTACACCTGGCAGGAGAAGAACATGCCCAGCGAGGGGATTTTGCAATCTAAACAGCTCTAATTATTTTCGATTATTTTTAAAGCATTTTTTTACTTGAGGCTCTCTGTAAACGTAGAGACGAACGAAATAAACTTAAATTCTACGTGAAAGCCTCAACATGGCCTTTTGGCAGTTGAATACCAAATACTTATAGAATATGAAATATAGTATATATGTATATAGATAGAGATGGACATATATATAGAGATATAGAGAGAATATAAAACATATAACATAAAACATATAAAATATAAA